TCATTTAAAAATGTACACAAATATCCTTAAAAAACTTTTGGACGTCCGTAAAAAAAAAAAATTTGGACTGGAACAACCCAATCTATAGGTAGAGTCAATGATACTGGACAGTGGAAAAAAAATATTTTGTTAAACATTTGAACAGACAGAATGCTGGGGCACGTGTGTAGTGACGTCACTAGGTTTGATTTCAGCAAGTGCCGAAGTAAAACTCTTTTATTTTTTTTTTTTTCAAAAGTAATAAAAACTAAAAGTTTTAAAATACCCTTAATTTAAAAAAAAAAAAAAAAGCCGTTTCAATTTTTGCATGTCAACGTCATAAGCAAATACCGCTCAGTAATTAGCCTTTTAAAAATAAATTTAATAAATATAATTTATTTTAAATTTGTTAATAATAATAATAATAAAGTTTATTTGAAAAACAAGCTTCATCCCTAAAAGCTCGAAGCGCGGTACCAAGTCAACCATAGTAAAAAGAGAAATAAAAACAATCTAAATTTACCACATTTAAAAAACAGACACAACAATATAAAACTACATACGAGCATACCAAGTCAAAGTCTTTCATCTCGTTTCAACCATAACCAAGACAGGCCAATATACATTAACTGGAAACGATGGTAGATAGCATCACCCCAGAAGGTGTTTGCGAAATAGATGTGTTTTTAAATCGGTCACCACACCACATTTTATCCGTGTATATTTTTCTTTTGACATTTAATAAGTTTTCCGTATTTTCCCCCTACTAAAAACGTGTTTTTTATCAATTGTTATAAAGTACTAAAAACCAGACGTTACAAAATATTTTTCAATAAGAATATGCCGCTTTAAGTCACGAAGTCCAAAGAAACTTCATAGCCAAATCCTTCTCACTAATGCATTTATCGCGCATCCAAATAAGAACAAACCATATGAAGTAGCAAGTGGTTCCCTTTTGTTATCAGTATCTCAAAACCCAATTATTACGTGACAGATTTGAACACTTGGTAGGTTACGGTTTTTAATGTTAAAATAAAGTAACCCTATTGTTTCAATACACACGATTATGCATTGAATTTATGAGAGTCAAAAACGATCTGGTACTTTTAGAATGTGAAAGTTCAGGGACATGCCAAAAAAATGTGTGGTTGCGTACACAAGGGTCTACCATCCCGTAGATCAGCGTTTCGCAACCTGCGGGTCGCGACCCCTATCTGTTGGCATCCATGATGTTGGCACATCATGATGTTGGCACCCATGATGTTGGCATCCATGATGTTGGCACTCATGATCTTGGCACCCATGATGTTGGCACATCATGTTCTTGTGACAGATGGTGACACTGCCAGATGGTGACACTGGCAGATGATGAAACTGGGAGATGGTGACAATGGCAGATGGTGAAACTGGCAGATGGTGACATTGGGAGATGGTTACACTGACGGATGGTGACACTGGCAGATGGTGACAGTGGCAGATGGTGACACTGACAGATGGAAACACTGACGGATGGTGACACCGACGGATGGTGACACTGGCATATGGTGACACTGGCATATGGTGTCCATGTTACCATCAAGCCGGTAAAGGTAGATACAACTTGGCAGGGGTGCGTCCGCATGTGGGTCCACAGACTCTGACGTTTCCCACGTTTCCAATGTGAATTGCTTTCTTCCATCTGGGCATGATAGCGCCTAAGCCTCTGGGTTTCATTTTGTCTCCCCACTGACCAAACCGCCTTGCCCTGAAATGGTTTCCCAACCAGTTCTTGATACCGAGTTCTGTCCGTGCTGTATCGACGCTAACCAAACCACATTGTCCTGAAATGGTTTCCCAACCTGTTCTTGATACCGAGTTCTGTCCGTGCTGTATCCACGCTAACCAAACCACATTGTCCTGAAATGGTTCCCCAACCAGTTCTTGATACCGAGTTCTGTACGTGCTGTATCCACGCTAACCAAACCACATTGCCTTGAAATGGTTCCCCAACCAGTTCTTGATACCGAATTCTGTCCGTGCTGTATCCACGCTAACCAAACCACATTGTCCTGAAATGGTTCCCCAACGTGCTGTATCCACGCTAACCAAACCACATTGCCTTGAAATGGTTCCCCAACCAGTTCTTGATACCGAATTCTGTCCGTGCTGTATCCACGCTAACCAAACCACATTGTCCTGAAATGGTTCCCCAACCAGTTCTTGATACCGAATTCTGTCCGTGCTGTATCCACGCTAAACAAACCACATTGTCCTCAAATGGTTCCCCAACCAGTTCTTGATACCGAGTTCTGTCCGTGCTGTATCGACGCTAACCAAACCACATTGTCCTGAAATGGTTCCCCAACCAGTTCTTGATACCGAGTTCTGTCCGTGCTGTATCGACGCTAACCAAACCACATTGTCCTGAAATGGTTCCCCAACCAGTTCTTGATACCAAATTCTGCCCGTGCTGTATCCACGCTAACCAAACCACATTGTCCTGAAATGCTCCCCTCCCCCCAAACTAGTGTTTATTTCAGGCATCTCTGGGTGTGTGTGTGCAGTGCCCCACGCCCCTCGAACAAGTGAAATGCCCCCCCCCCGCCCCGGGGAAAAATTTGTCCAAAATATATTGTAATTTATAAAAACACCGAATATGCTGTCCTTTGAAAAAGAATATAGTAACTGTTGACCAGAGCGGATTACCTAATGAAGTATCGATCCGTATAATTAATGCTAATCTTGGAAGAGGCTTACAATTTTCGAATATTGATATCGTAATGGGCCGAAAAATGGCCGCTTCTGTTCATAAGCCGAAATATTACTTCTTGTTGTTGTTCGCTTAAGCGGTATTTTTATATATTTATTTTTGGTATCTTGTCAAGTTAAAAGAATTTACTAATGGACGCCACATTTAACGATACAACATCTCAAGTTGTCATAAGTTTTACCCTTCCATGTAAAAAAAAAAAATGATACCTGGGATGACCACCCCCCCCCATTGCAGAGGCGTAGCTAGAGTGTTTGGCGTTAGGATATTGATTCATTTTTACCCGCCCCCCCGCCCCCCCCCCAAACCAACTCTGAAAACTATTAGTTTCATCCATTATATAACATCACACCCCATTTTGGCCGCACGTGGACATCTATCCTCCTCTTCCCTTCCCCCCGCTTTGCTACGCCTTCTTTCAACTGATACCCCCCCCCACCTCCCCTAAATGTTTAATTGTATATAAAATAGAAAAGGTCATCTGGATAGAGGTAATCGAAAAATGTTTTCTTGATTGACGTGTAGAAAAGGTCATTGATAGACGTTAAGAAATATTAATTGATAGACTTATAAGAAAAGGTCATCATTATAGATGTATTGTAATAAGCTAATGGGATATCCACAGCTGAGACACGCAGGCTTGCCCGAAAGAGCAACATTAGGTCAACGTCTGAAGCAGCTATCCCCTGCCCGCGGTGCCAAAGATTGTTCCGAGCACGGATCGGCCTAGCAAGCCACCTACGAGCTCACCGGAACCCAACCTCCCCTTAAACTTTAGATGACCCGATGGTCCTACTCGACTTCGACGGACGAACAACAATTGTAAAGGTCCTTTTGACAGATGTATAGAAACATTTCACCTTGATGGACGCATAGAAAAGTTCATATTAAAGACATATTGAAAAGGTCATCTTGATAGACGTATAGAAATGGTCATCTTGATAGACGCATAGAAAAGGGCAGCTGCTCGGCTTGGACGCGATTCCTGATTGATCAATTCAAGCAGTTAAAGAAAATCCAAATTCGTCCATTAAATAACGATGGGAATATTATTTCACGGGAAACAAAGTCTCAATATAAATAAGACTAATTCTTGCAACAGCTCTTCAGACAAACTAACAAAGCCATTCAACAAAGACTAATAACAACATCTGCCATGTGCGAATTCTGTTTCTGAATATTATAGTAGGCTTGACATATGCGGACTGTGTATAAAAACTACAAAAGTAATGGCAATCAGTATTTTATATGTTAATTCAGACTGTCCAACTCGTTTCTTTTTTTTTTTTAGCGCAGGGGTTCTTAGCCTGTGGTCGTAACACGGTGTTAGAGGGCTGTGACCTGCATAACGTATTTCAACTTTATTCTAAGTATGGTCAGTGACCTCCATCTGGTAAAAACGGGCCTTCACCTGACTGGCAAAATGGTCATTCATCTGACTGGCAAAACACTCATTCACCTGACTGGCAAAACGGTCATTCACCTGACTGGCAAAACGGTCATTCACCTGACTGGCAAAACGGTCATTCACCTGACTGGCAAAACGGTCATTCACCTGACTGGCAAAATGGTCATTCACCTGACTGGCATAACGGTCATTCACCTGACTGGCAAAACGGCCGGTGCAGCAAAAAAGTTTAAGAAAGCCTGATCTAGCGACACATTATGTAAAAGTCAAAAGAGCAGTGGTTCTCAAACCTTCCTAGTGCTGCTACCCATTAATACAGTTCCTCATGTTGTGGTGATACCCCACCCCTAAAATTACGTTCACTGCTATTTCATAAATATGTTATTTTCCAATGGTCTCAGCCGACCCCTGTGTAAGGGTCGTTCGTCCCACAAAGGGGTCGTGACCCACAAATTGAAAACCCCTGTTTCAGAGGAATGTAAATTTTGACACCTGTATTCTAAACATGATTACGCTATGAATTCATCTATGAATTCATTGTTGATTCATCTCTGCTGAGACTGGTACCCGACAAAACCTAACATTTGTTTCATATTTGCAACAACTTAAAGCGATTTCTATCCTGAAATATTTTTTGTGCAGCTACTGACATTGAGAATATGCGGACGTGACTGCGTAAACGGAAAGGTGATCTGTTAAGTTGGACCGGCTTTGAGAACTGGTTTTTGAAACGAAATGACCCAATTTCCAATAGTTCAAAACCGTGCAATTCAAGGTCTGATGTTGAACAAATTTTCAACGGCTGTCTGAGATAGGAGGAGAAAAAAATATGGCTGTAAATATTCCCTGCCTGGTGGCTGTCATTGTGATCTACGTCATCACACTGGTCATCGGGATTGTGGCCGCGCGGAAGACGAACAAGAAGACAGACTGTGACGAGGTGATGCTTGCCAATAGGAGCTTTGGGCTCGTCATAGCCTGCTTCACCCTGACAGGTACCCTTACTTAACTTGCCACAGCCTGACAGACATCATTGTATCACATACAGACAGAAAATATTCTTTCACAGAATTCTTGTGTTATAGACTAACAGAAATTATTGTGTCAAAAATCACGTACATACAATCTTTGTGCCACAGACTCATAGAATGGACATACATTCTTGTGTAATAGACTGATAGAATGGACATACATTCTTGTGTCATAGACTGATAGAGATACACATACATTCTTGTGTCACAGACTGATAGAGATAGACAGACATTCTTGTGCCACAGACTGATATAATACACATCCACTCTTGTGTCACAGACTGATAGAGATAGACAGAAATTCTTGTGCCACAGACTGATATAATACACATCCACTCTTGTGTCATAGACTGATAGAGATACACATATATTCTTGTATCATAGGCTGGTAGAATAGACATACTTTCTTGTGTCATAAACTGATAGAATAGACATCTATTCTTGTGTCACAGACTGATAGAATGGACATACATTATTATTTCCTGGACTGACAGCCAGGCAGATTTTCCAGTGATCCATACAGAATGACACACAGGACACACAATCTTTTGTCAGAGACTGACATATTCTTGTCACTTTTTGACATGCAGACCCGCGTGTGTGACAGACTGATTTTCTTTTGTGACAGATTGACAGGCTGACATTCCTGAAGTTTATAAGAACATTGATTTTTTTCAATATTTTTAGATTTGAAGATTTTAAAAATAAATATCTGCAATTAAAATATTCCATTTTTCCCCCTTAATTTTTTAAAGTAATCATTTGGTGTAACCCCCCTAAGATGGTGTCACCGGGTGACACCATCTTAGGGGGTTACACCAAATTGAAAAATAACATATTTACAAAGCATACACTGCTCGGACTAACAGAATGTTATAAAAGGATTACCAATCACGAGTAAAGTGTCAAGAAATGTAACCAATCCAAATTCGCGCCTTATTAAAAGTTCAAGGTTGGCGCGTGAGAAACGATTCAACGCCCACTGAAGTGTTCGGCAACTTTCGTTAATGACAGAAAGCTATATTTATCTCAATTCTGAGAAATAACGTTTTTCCATTGATACCAATGGACGAATCGAAGTACATGTTACAGTTCGTAAATAAATTTAATTTATTTTTTGTTCTTGTCATTGTTACACTGTGGACTTATTTTAACAAGAAGAAATCCATAGTGGATATCGTAGGGAGGGAGTCAGGGGGTTACATCATGAGTTTACCTCACCGGGAGGGGGGCACCAACCCCCTAGCTACGCCACTGTCTAGCATCACTTGCAAAATATCTCAAGCGTAACGCGTGCATGAGGTCTCAAGTGTCACCTGAAGGGATGTCTCAAGTGTGTGCATGAGGTCTCAAGTGTCACCTGAAGGGGTGTCCCAAGTGTGTGCATGAGGTCTCAAGTGTCACCTGAAGGGATGTCCCAAGTGTGTGCATGGGGAATCTTTGATGTCTTGACTTCATCGACGCCCAGGGCGCCTCCTGTCCCCGCCCCTGACGCAGGCCCATCCAAGGTCATTCTTTGGTTGCCGTTGTATTTTTACTTTGTGCCAAGACTGTGTCAGCTTGCGATCTCTGGTGTGTTTGACTGGCCAATTTTTCTCTAAATTTAGGTCGGTGCAGAGGTTTGAACACAACGATCGTTACTCTGTTTCCAAGTTAATTTAATTCTCCTGCTGTGGTATTTCTTTTCAAACCCGGATTATCTCTTTTCCACCCACACAGGCTTAAAGCCTTGTCAACACGTCTCATTCGTATGCTTTTTATATGAATTATCAGAGGCAGGTCATGCGTGAGATCGAGTATCGTACACAATAACCTAGGCCGGCCCCACGGTTGCTGGCTTAAGTAGATGCATTAATGTTTGTGCAGGGGAAAAACTGGGCACTAGGACATGGAATTGTACCTAGTTTTTCTTTTCGTTTTTGTTAAAAAAAATTTTTTAACTTGTATTTGGGCAGTGTAAACAATTAGCCTAAACCATGACCAGTGTGAACAACTAGCCTACCGTGGCCAGTATGAACAACTAGCCTACCGTGGCCAGCATGAACAACTAGCCTACCGTGGCCAGCATGAACAACTAGCCTACCGTGGCCAGCATGAACAACTAGCCTACCGTGGCCAGCATGAACAACTAGCCTACCGTGGCCAGCATGAACTCCTAGCCTACCGTGGCCAGCACGAACAACTAGCCAAACGTGGCCAGCATGAATAACTAGCCTACCGTGGCCAGCATGAACTCCTAGCCTACCGTGGCCAGCATGAACAACTAGCCAAACGTGGCCAGCATGAATAACTAGCCTACCGTGGCCAGCATGAACAACTAGCCTACCGTGGCCAGCATGAACAACTAGCCTACCGTGGCCAGTATGAACAACTAGCCTACAGATGACATTTTTATCTGGCGTTGAGATCAGCAAATCTTTTTACTGTACTTTCTATATTTTGTTCCATGGCGCCCACTTGCAATGATCTTTTCTATTTTCGAAGATCGTTGATGGCGCCCTAAGAACATGGCATCCCAGGCAACTGCCCGAGTTGCCAGTACCGTGAGCCTGCCGTGACAATAACAGTTAACTGTGAGGAGAAATCGAATCACTATGTACTCTTAAGTGATAAGGGTAGCGGTGGATCTGATAAAAAAAAATGCGATGTAGGGTTTTGGGGGGGGGGAGGGGGGGAGGTGAGGAGAGAGAACTTGTGAGTAAAATTAAAATATAACCTAAAGAGAGAAAGGTCTACGAAACGGATNGAAATCGAATCACTATGTACTCTTAAGTGATAAGGGTAGCGGTGGATCTGATAAAAAAAAATGCGATGTAGGGTTTTGGGGGGGGGGAGGGGGGGAGGTGAGGAGAGAGAACTTGTGAGTAAACTTCAAATATAACCTAAAGAGAGAAAGGTCTACGAAACGGATAACTTGAATGTACAGTGTATGTTTATGTAGTGTATGTCAATGTAGTGTATGTCAAGTTAATGCAGTGTATATCTAGCTGAAGCCCTAAGGCATGGTTTCATAAAATATTCTTTATAGTCAATACCTCATTTCATAGCTGCAAACATTGCCGTGGTGAGAAAAAGCGCATAGATAAATATCCTGAAATGTCTTGCACTCTCCTGAAATTAGCGTTTTATCATTCTTCACTTAACCTGAGAACAACAGAAGAGCTGCTAGTGGAGGGAGAGCAGCAGAAGAGTCGCTAGTAAATGGAGAGCAGCAGAAGAGTCGCTAGTACAGGGATGGCTACAGAAGAGTCGCTAATGAAGGGAGAGCAGCAGACGAGTCGCTAGTTGATGGAGGGCTACAGAAGAAGCGCCAGTGAAGGAAGAAAGCCACAAGGATCGCTAGTGGAGGGAGAGCAGTAGGCGAGTCGCTAGTTGATGGAGGGCTACAGAAGAGTCGCTAGTGGAGGGAGAATGCCACAAGAGTCGCTGGTTTAGGTTTGGGTGGAACCGTGAACTGGTTGTGTTTATAAAAAAAACACCACTTTATTTTTAGTTTTTACTATATAGTAATATGTTTGATATCATTATTTACATTATTTATTTGTTAAAAAAGCTTAATTAATAAATACATCTGTCACATGTCCATTTTATGAACTGCCGCTCAATTATTTTTCACCAATATTCTGTGAGGAGTTGGGTCTTACTTAAAAGGATATATACTGTAGATAAATATATATACATGAATACATATTTATATATATATAAAAGAGCCGCCATGGGTGGAATTTGCTTTCCCTACACTAGTGGATAAGTGGATATATACCTCTATTTTTCATAATAATAATTTACGATCTCGGTGGTCCCCATGAGGCTGCCGCATTGGCTGCCCCCGTCTCGTCACCCGCTCTCCTTAAGGCTGCGCTGGATGCAGAGTGACCTCTGACCTCGAAATGTAAACAAGAAATGCAATCAAATAAAGTCATGAGGTTTCAAATGGAGCATTTGGAGATTATTACCCCTTTACTAAGACACAGATTAAACAAGATTTAAAAAAAAATGTAAATTAGTCTTTCAACCGGCGACTTTACATGCAATCCCCCCCCCCCCGGGGCCCCTTTAGTTCATTGAGGTCGTTACATATAGGCTGGAAATAAGGGCCTTATGGGGGTCATGTCAATTGTCTTCCTCTGGTGTATGTATTACATACATTAAATATTTGTCTTGAACATTTCAAAATAGAAAAAGCAGGTGGACAATTGAGCTTTATTTTTTATATATTTTTAAAACATTTTTCTCTCATGTTGAAAGTTCGCTTTAAACAAAAAAATTCCAGGTTGCCAACTAGGCTAATGCGTGCACCTTGCACCAACTAGGCTAAGACGGGTACATCGCCCCAACTAGGCTAATGCGGGCACCTTGCACCAACTAGGCTAAGGCGGGTACCTTGCCCCAACTAGGCTAATGCGTGCACCTTGCACCAACTAGGCTAAGGCGGGTACATCGCCCCAACTAGGCTAATGCGGGCACCTTGCACCAACTAGGCTAAGGCGGGTACCTTGCCCCAACTAGGCTAATGCGGGCTACTTGCACCAACTAGGCTAATGCGGGCTACTTGCACCAACTAGGCTAAGGCGGGCTACTTGCACCAACTAGGCTAATGCGGGCTACTTGCACCAACTAGGCTAAGGCGGGTGCCTTGTACAATGCCATTACTTCTTTTTTAAATATCTGAAACCGATAAAACCGATGACATTGCTTGCCATCATAATAATCTCTAATATATTTCTCTCTATCTTCATGACTGGATCTAGCGACCATGGTGTGCGGTGGTTTCATCAATGGAACAGCCGAGTATGCGGCTTGGTACGGACTGCTGCAGACACAGTTACCCTTAGGTTCATGTATAGGATTCCTCATAAGTAAGTGATGGTGCACAGGTAGGAACACCTTTAAGATGTGCTCATCAATGTTGTGAGATGTTTTGCAAGAACTATAGAGTAAGATTTAATCTGCTTTATAGCCAAGACACCGTAGATAGCCCTGCTGTGAGATTGTGTGTCATGCTAGCCAAGACACCCTAGCTAAAGTAATGGTGTAAGACTTTGCTGCACACCAAAACAAACCAGCTAGAGCTATTGAGTTTACGTTTGTCTCCTGCCAGTCAAAAACAATTAGCATTGAGGCTATGGCCCTTATTAATGTAAATTAATGTGTTCCATGATCTAAGAAGCCGTTCAGTTGCGTGTCTCATCATCCCTACTTGTATGTTGCTTTTAGTTCCCAGCCAAACACAAGTATTGGTTTAAGAAGGCAGTTTAACTTGCACCAACTAGGCTAAGGTGGGCACCTTGCACCAAGTAGGCTAAGCAGACACCTTGCATCAAGTAGGCTAAGCAGACACCTTGCACCAACTAGGCTAAGGCGAGCAACTTGCTAAGCAGGACAACAAATAGTTGCCATAAATACTACTCCGATTTCTGATGAAACGTATGTACGGTATCGTTAGATGAATTGGCAGTATCGTCAGATAAATGGGCAGCATTGTCAGTTTAACGGTTAGTATCGATATAAGAAGGCAGTATCTTCAGTTGAATGGAAAGTATCGTCTCAGTTGAATAGGCAGCATTGTCGATAGAATTGGCAGTATCGGCAGTTGAATCGATGGTATCGTCATTTAAATACACTGAATCGTCAGTTAATTGGACGGTATCGCATGTTCAATGAGAAGTATCGTCAGTTTAATAATTCAGTTGACCCTTAAATAACCGATGCAGATCTAATGCTTATAGTGTAGATGTTTCGTAACATGTAAACAATGTAAATTTCAACACGACTGAGTGTGCGTTTTCCCCATTCTTTAAATAGATTTCCCTAAAATCCCTAGGTTACTTACACGTGTAAGCTCAACGTTGACCTTGAATGGGTATTTATCAAAAATTGTAAGAAAATCAGTCAAATTTAATAAATACAGCCCCGCTATTCATCAATACCACGTGACCCCAACAGGTGGACTTGTGTACGCCCCAAAGATGAGACGTGAGAGGTACGTGACAATGTTCGACCCCTTCCAGTACAAATATGGCCGTAAGATGGGAGCACTCCTGATAATACCCCACATGTTTAGCGACCTGTTCTGGTCCGGATCTGTCTTGGCCGCACTGGGTGAGTTTCAAGGAGGTTGGTCCTGCCAGGGAACACAAGGTGAGGCACTTGACCCAAAAGAACTTAAATGATGGTGTGCGACGATTTGACCCTAAAGAACTTAAATGATGGTGTGCCACGATTTGACCCTAAAGAACTTAAATGATGGTGTGTGACGATTTGACCCTAAAGAACTTAAATGATGGTATGTGACGATTTGAACCTAAATAACTTAAATGATGGTGTGCGACGATTTGACCCTAAAGAACTTAAATGATGGTGTGTGACGATTTGACCCTAAAGAACTTAAATGATGGTGTGCCACGATTTGACCCTAAAGAACTTAAATGAGGGTGTGTGACGATTTGACCCTAAAGAACTTAAATGATGGTGTGTGACGATTTGACCCTAAAGAACTTAAATGATGGTGTGTGACGATTTGACCCTAAAGAACTTAAATGGTGGTGTGCGACGATTTGACCCTAAAGAACTTAAATGATGGTGTGTGACGATTTGACCCTAAAGAACTTAAATGATGGTGTGCCACGATTTGACCCTAAAGAACTTAAATGGTGGTGTGTGACGATTTGACCCTAAAGAACTTAAATGATGGTATGTGACTATTTGACCCTAAAGAACTTAAATGATGGTGTGTGACGATTTGACCCTAAAGAACTTAAATGATGGTGTGTGACTATTTGACCCTAAAGAACTTAAATGGTGGTGTGTGACGATTTGACTTTAAAGAACTAAAATGGTGATGTGTGACGATTTGACCCTAAAGAACTTAAATGATGGTGTGCCACGATTTGACCCTAAAGAACTTAAATCGTGGTGTGTGACGATTTGACCCTAAAGAACTTAAATGATGGTGTGTGACTATTTGACCCTAAAGAACTTAAAATGGTGTGTGACGATTTGACCCTAAAGAACTTAAATGATGGTGTGTGACTATTTGACCCTAAAGAACTTAAATGGTGGTGTGTGACGATTTGACTTTAAAGAACTTAAATGGTGATGTGTGACGATTTGACCCTAAAGAACTTAAATGATGGTGTGTGACGAGTAAAGTTTGTCAAATTTCTTCCACCGTGAATCCGTCCTTGGAAACCCTTGTAAATTAAAACCTTTCTCTCCCCTCAAATTACCCAGCAGTAGCATAGCCCGAGTGACTCCCCTTAGTGTTATCGCATTTATACACAAGACCACTCACCCCAAAAGCGTGCATTCTGTGTTCAACCCCTCTCACCGAGGAACCTTAAGAATATAATACCATCCCCACCCCCCCCCCACTCAGAATTGCCCTGGAAGCAACACATTTGGAGTATCGTCCCTTGTTGTTACTGCATGTCTACACCAGAAAACTCACGCCGAAGAGTGAATTTGGATTTTCCAGGGTAGAAGGTCAAACCCGCAACGTCGAAAGTGATTATCATTGGATGGGAAAACAAACAACATTTAAACCACCCAATGAATTATCACCGAATATATATATAATATATATATATTTATTTATTTATTTATTTATTTATTTATTTATTTATTTATTTATTTATTTATTTATTTATTTATTTATTTATTTATTCATTCATTTATTTATTTATTTATTTATTTATTTATTTATTTATTTATTTATTTATTTATTTATTTATTTATTTATTTATTTATTTATTTAAATTCACTCCTCATTTAAAAATGTGTAAATAAATATGTACAATTGTGAAATTTTGATTTATTCGGTATCGGAACAATTATTTAAAGCTCCATAACTTTACAGGCGGAACAGTTTCCATTATCGCTGATATCGATCCCACCATTTCCATAATCGTTTCGGCCCTCGTATCGGTCGTCTACACATTCCTTGGTGGACTTATCGCCGTGGCCTACACGGATGTAATACAGATCCTTATGGTGGCTTTCGGACTCGTGAGTATGGTGGCTTTTTGAGTTAACTTATGTTGTCTTGATTACTTTGAGCTTTAAGCAGCAATTCATTCTATCTGGGCGGCAAAATAAAACAATGCAAAAAGCCAGACGTCTCGCTTGCTGCATGTGCTGCCAATTTCATTCCAATCGATTGTTTACGGAAGTACCGATTCCTTTTTTTTTTTTTTACACACTTTGTACTTTGTTTAAGGTACGAAATTTAATTATTTTTTCTGCTTATATAATAATTTTAAAAAAAAGATAGTGCTTAAAAAAAGGTAATTAGGCCATACATTGTTTCTGCAGGTGCTGGCTTGTCCTTATGCAATGAGTAGTGACCACGTCAACTTGACCAGCGTGAGCAGCACGTGGATAGGGGAGGTGCCGGCAGGCACTGAGTGGATGTACGCTGATGTCCTCTGCCTCCTGGTGTTTGGGGGTATCACGTGGCAAGTAAGCGTTTGGAACTATTAAGTAGGTCTTAAGGACGTGAGTTCTCTCCCCAAAGAAGTCGTCGTGTGTGCATTCATTTCTGTGGTTCTGTTGATGCGGCGTTCATACAGTGGGGGTGGCTGGTTTTTGTGGCGCCACGGGGTGTCCTCGAGTTTCGTCGCCCCTCGCTGATAAAAATCACCAAAAAATATAGCATGCACATCAAAAAAAAGTCATAAATATTTAATGAAGTGGGGGAAAATGCAACCTAAAACTAGTCCCGTCTGTCATGGACCCACCAGTTGGACCCACCAGTTGGACCCACCAGTTGGACCACTCGTTCAACTCGTTATCAGATCATTGGTGACATTCGGAGATTTGATATCAAATCCTATTGGTGACATTCAGTGATGTGGTATCAAATTCTGTCAGTGACATTCGGATATTTGGTATCAGGTTCCATTGAGACATTCAGAAATGTGGGATCAGATCCGATTGTTGAAATTCGGAGATGTGGGATCAGATCCTATTGGTGAAATTTGGAGATGTGGGATCAGATCCTATTGGTCACCTTGGGAGAAGTCAGATCGGATTCTAGTCTATCAAATCGTTAAAGAACACTTCTATTTGTACATAATTTCAGTACAGACTGAATTAGAGTTCATCAAATCTGGTCACCATATTTTGGAAAACAGATTGATCGATGGGTTTCCAAACATTTCCCTGTTTTAATGTTGACTTACTTATTTCGTATTTCACAGTGACCTCTTAAATTTGCAAAACTGTCAGAATTATTATGTCGTTCATTTTTAGCTGTGTTCCTTTAGTAATTTTCTCATTTCAGGGGGAGATGGGGGGGGGGGTCACTCGACCCCTTCTGTATTCTGCATTGGCCCCTGCGCACGCCCCTAAATCATCCAAGCCTCTATTTCTTTAAAACTGACCTCTCCAAGCTGGACTAAACCACGTGCCAATGTTTAAATAAGTTCCAAATTAGAAATGGAAAAGATTTCCTAGCTTCTAAACAACGCATTGTGTTTTCAATACTTCATTAAAATGGAAACAACATATGTTTTGGCTTGAACAAAAATAAACAAACAGAACAATGAAAAAGATTCGGCTAAAAACCTGCTTCAGAAGCTCATACAATGCAAGGTTAAAAAATTACTTATTTTCTGTACTCCATACAGTCATTTTACCAGAGAATCCTGGCCTGCAAAAGCCCAAGAGTGGCAATGCTGTCAACGTCCTTCGCCGCAGTATTTAGTTTCTTGTTCTCAGTCCCAGCGTTTGTCTTAGGAGTCGCTGGATCTGCAGCGGGTAATTTGGGTTTTCGTTTAAATAAAACAATTTGAAACTTTCAAAAATTTACGAAGGAAATCATTCAAAGGTCTTGAAGATATAACTATTTTAGATTTCGTTTCATAGAATTCATTTTTAAGATTGAAAAAAAAAATAATTATCTATGAGTTGATATGTAAAAAAAAAAAAATTCAATTTTGTATTAAGGTCCTGGCATACTTGAAAAACTTTTAAAATATTATACGCAAATTAGTCTCACTGTTCATTTTAAGGCTTTTAGTATCGACTTTCAGAAATTCGCTATTGTCTCTGAATATCGAGGTTACGAAAAATGTTTACTCAGTTTGCAAAAGCAAAATCGCAAGACTCAAGCTGACATCGAACAAGAGAGGCATCAGTTGCCCCTAGTGACCGACCGAATTTCGGTCTCGGCACCGAAAGTTCTCATTTTCGGTGTAGTTTCGGTTTCGGTCGAAATGGATATTTTCGGTTTCGCCCGAAGGTGTTTAAGGCTTTTAGTCGTCTGCCAAAAAGTCAGAATGTCTCTCTACTGTGTCTGTGTGTCTCTCTACTGTGTCTGTGTGTCTTTCTACTGAGTATGCGTGTCGGCTGACATGCCGAAAGTCAGAATCTCCCTCTACTGTGTCTGTGTGTCGGCAGACATACTGAAAGTCAGAATGTCCCTCTACTGTGTCTGTATGTCGGCCAACATTCAAAAAGTCAGAATGTCCCTCTACTGTGTCTGTATTGCAGCCAACATTCAAAAAGTCAGAATGTCCCTCTACTGTGTCTGTATGTCGGCCAACATTCAAAAAGTCAGAATGTCCCTCTACTGTGTCTGTATTGCAGCCAACATTCAAAAAGTCAGAATGTCCCTCTACTGTGTCTGTATTGCAGCCAACATTCAAAAAGTCAGAATGTCCCTCTACTGTGTCTGTATGTCGGCCGAAATTCCAAAATTCAGTATTTCTCCACGTCTTCTCGTAAGATATGAGACTTATCCTCTGCGAACACTGCTCACAGCCACATGATGGTTTGCTTGTCCAATATTTCGAAACTTCAAATTTGAATTAAGCTTAGGCGATGGTTAATAGTTTGGAAAAAAAAACAACTAATGTAATGGGACTATTGATATATATTTTTTGGCTTTAATTTTTTCAAAACTATAAACCTTGGTAACCCCAGCTTTATTTAATTAATTAATTTTTGGCCTTCATATTGATTTACCCTATTCATGCTCATCAATAATGTCGCCAATAATATTATGAAAAAAGTACTAGGGAGTGGAAACATTTAAATAAATAGTCTTTGTTAATAAAAAAAAAATAAAATAAAAATTCGCCAGTCTTAGGCTTATTCAATTCATTCATTGATATCCATCATTATCACTATGATAAACATTGTTATTGATGAAATAAAATGTTTAGATATCCCACGAAACTAGTCACGTGTGTGGACGCAAATGTAAAGGATAAGACAATGAAACCATCAGTATGGCCCAATATTAAAATATATATATATATATAATTAGTTCTCTCAAGTTTGTGTAACAGGGCATAAGATAGCCGTTAATTTCAATCATACTCCTACACACACTTATGCGATGTATCACTATCTCGTACAATAGCTATCTAATAGGCCTACTGTATGATCGTACTAAACGTAGCTCAGCATTCATGTCACGTTTGTTTCATCTTGGTCAAATGTAAAAAAAAAAAATGTTGATAAATGTTAATGGCGGATAAACGAAGAGTTTAAATGTCGACCAAATAAGAAAGCGTATTTCAACGAGAATGTATGGCTTAGCGGGACAGAGCGCGCCTCCAAGGCTTACGTCTGGGCAGTTTAGTGGGGCCATACCATCGTGAAACAATAAATAGGCTAAGCTTTCGATCGATACCAAATATGTCTACGTGGCGTTGTAATTAACTTATAAAAGCAAAGGACGCCCAAGGGTCAATTTTGCATTAATTTCGCCACCACTATCCAAACTCCAATTTTGTTCTTCTCTTATCTACTATTTTAAAATACATTGTTTTTCCGAAATGTAGATTATTTCCTAGTTCAAATGGTGAAAGCCGAAGTTTTCATTAGATGCTAATCCATTCAATTTTTTGGTTTCGGTTTGGGCTTCGGTCGGAATTCATTTTTAACGTTGGGACTTGTGCTATGAACTAGGTTTAGGGGCGTTTGTTATGGGTGAGATGGTGGCGTTCAGTTTAGAGTATGCTGAGCGAGTGTTGTCGGGAGAGTTTGAAAGTAGTCTAACAGCAGTGATGAAATTAGTCTGAGGACATGCGGTAGTGTCATGAGGATTTTAGGATGAAGAAAGTTTTTTTTTGGTTAAAACTGCCAATTATTGTAAACGATGAGAGATATCATGACGTCAATCGAACACTGGCTATTGTCATACGTATGAACCAAGCTGAAGGATCTTAGCAGCTTGGTTTCGGTCGAAACCAGACAATCACTTTCGGTCGGTCTCTAGAGTATTTTGAGTAAGCCGTTATGTCCCAATTTACGAGAGTTCTTAAACCATACGGTTTTTAAAGATGCTTTCATGAGCAATTAAAATGGAACGTATTAATTGCAATAAACTATCTTTAAATCATCATCTGATATATAAGCGTTTACTAGAAAACTATGTTTTTAAATTAAGTTTTTCATACTCATTTCATTTTTTCATTTCGTTTATTCCAGATTGGAACAGTACAGCCTACGACGGACCTCTGCCTATACCCGATGACCGGAAGAGCTACATGCTTCCCATGGTCCTCAGCTTCCTAGTCCCACTTCCTGTTTCTATAATCGGCCTCTGTGCCATCGCAGGCGCTGTCATGTCGTCTGCTGATTCGATTTTCCTTTCATCGGCGACTATCTTTACTAAAAATATTTACCAGGATATATTTAGACCACAGGTGATACAATTAAAGGTTGTCCCATTCAAATTGGTTTAAAAATGCAATAGATGTAATCTTTTAATTTTTCGAACTTTATTGGAAAATTCTAGACGGACCCTTAATGGATTGGATATCATTAGTTTTAATTCCCCCGACATTTCAATACTGAATATGAAAGTATTGCTACCAACGTAGGCTTAGATCCATCAATTCACATAGAACCTATAGAATCTAAGAATATTGGTATTTATATAGGTCATGTAAGGAAAAAAAAGAAATGGAACCCCCGGCAACAAGGTAGTGGATATTATGTGTTCAGTACCCTTCGGTATTTTAATATGGATAATCAAGTGTATGTGTACTGAGCTTGGTCAAGCTCGATCCATTCAAATAGGAGCTTTTATTAATAATTTTATTTAAATTACTCATATAAGAAAAAAAAATTTAGGGCCGTCGGCCCAAACGAAATGGAAAGGTTATCACTCCACCCCCCCCCTCCCCGATTTCATTCAGGATTGTGATGTATATTTATATGTGCTAAGTTTGGTTAAGATCCATAAGCCCATGTAGAAACGTATGCGGAAGAAACAAACCCACACATTTTCCTTATATGCATAATATATGATGTGATACAATCTTTCCTTTTTGTGTCCAGGCTTCAAGCAAGGAAATGCTGTGGATGTTTAGATTTTTTATTGTTTTCTTTGGCGTGTTGGGAACTTTAGTCGCCATTTTTTCGACAACCATCTACGGCCTTTTCGTATTGTGCTGGTAAGTTGATGCGTAAGATACTATAAAACAATCTTATTTGTTTTTAATTCCATAAATTTTTCCGTTTATAAGTTCGAGTATCTTTGTAAGCTCGGGGGCTAGCAGTAATTCCAATGCCCATGACTTCTGTGAAACTTGTTAACACTTTCACTAAACAGCGCATTAATTCTGATTACAAGTCATCTAATCGTCTTCCTAAGAATATTGAGAAAAAAATTATGACGTAGTACAATAATATTTTGATGAAAAATTCTTTGACATATATATATTATCCATAAAGAATTGTGAGTATTTCTTAGAATAGTTACCAGTAATTGCCTGACAATTCCTTTGAATAATCACAATTATTTGTGTGATTTTCCTTATTATGATAACGAGTAATTGTCTGACAGTTCCTTAGAACGATCACGAGTAATTGTGACAATTCCTTACCAAAAACATGAATCTTTGTTGAGACATTACCTTAGGGCTTTCATCAATAATTGTGTTACATTTCCTCACACCAGCGACCTGATGTACGTGGTCCTGTTCCCCCAACTGACCTGTGTCCTGTGGCTACCTTGGTCCAACACTTACGGTAGTCTCGCTGGTCTGGCTGTCTCACTTCTGCTACGTTTCCTGTGTGGAGACCCTATGCTGGGCATTCCGTCTGTCATCAAGTTTCCCATGTATGACCACGACACGGAGACGCAACTGTTTCCATTCAGGTAGGCCGCCCTTTGCTAGCGAAATCATTACGCCCTTTGCTAACGAAATCATTACTCTCTTTGCTAGCGAAATCATTACACCCTTTGCTAGCGAAATCATTACGCTCTTTGCTAGCGAAATCATTACGTCCCATGCTAGATAAAGCATTATGTTCTATGCTAGATAAATCATTACGTTCTTTACTAGATAAATTATTACGTTATATGCTGGTCGTTGTGCTTGTTGTCATTTTGCAAGAGCATCTCGATCGTTCCCTGCTCAGAGGCCCTTAGGCCGCTACAAAAGACGTGCACTATTTACCAAACCTGCATCATCCTGGCAAATTCCTCCTCCTCTGAGCCCAACCCTGGACTAGACATCTTTAAGAGCGCTGTCTGCCCTACCTCGCATTCCCACTCTTGTTTCCTATCCCAGTCATTGGGGACCTGCGGAACTTGTGACCTTGCTGATCAGTGGGAGGACGGAGGCGTTGCATGGGAACATTGCGTGAAATGCTTCCACGGTCAATGCCCAGGCATCGACACGCTGTATCACAACCAGCATGGTGAAAATTCTGGCGTGCCATGGTACTGTGATGTCTGCTGACAGACTGTGTTTGACCTCCATAGTGCAAAGACAGACTTTACATGCCCAGATTTCCCCCTTAAACCCTCCATGCTGCACACGAACGGACCTTTAAATTTCTAGCCACCGCACTGCTCTACTCCTACGCGCTGCAGTCAGCAAGGCGAATGGAACAACTGACCAAAGCGCATCTTGAATGTGAACTTTCCATCCGCAGGCGGGATGAGAGTAAAGATAGCCAACCTGATCAGCAGCTTAAAACCTGACATCATACTGGGCACAGAGACACGGCTGGATCGGAAAGAGTCAAAAAGGAAAGCAGGAGACCCAAAGGCGTGGAAAGAAATAATAATACTGTTTATGACCTTCGCTTTACGGGGAGGTGAAAAGAAGAAAAGAAGAATAACGTGAATATATTTTTTATAATCCGTCTTAGCAAGACGATGGACTGTCTGTTGGCACTTCTCGCACGAGAGTCTCAAAAGTCTGGTTACCTTGGACTTCCGTGATGCGCTTTTTGCTGAAAGGGCTTTGAATTTTCTTGCTTTACAAAAAAATGTCTGCTCCTCATGAGGTGCCGTCTCCTGTGCACCTACTTAGCTTGGGCGGTGTGTTATGGAGACCTGCTGTTGACCAATGCAGCAGCTCCCTACTCTCCACGCAGCCAATGGATCCTAGGAAATAATAACTTGGCCCTTATCGCGACACAGGTGTTTTCAAAATAACACTGGTAACTGCGCCAGATTGACTTCGGGACTCCATCTCCGTATTTCCCATGTGGGTTCACTCCCGCAGTCTTACCCTAGCACCCCGCATTGATTTTATTCATATCTATACCGCTTTCACCAGTTTCAAATTTGTTTTCAATCTCTTTTTGCTATCCGGAAGCTCGCCCCTGCCAATTCAAGTGGTCCATCTACGACAACGCCTCTGCTTTTCTACCCTCCACAGAACGTTCTCAATGCTTGCCGGGCTAGGCTGCCAGGTGATGATCTCGGGGGTGGCCCACGTCCTCTTCGTGCTGGGGTACGCCTCTGTGAGATTCGACATTTTTAACTGCCGCCAGCAACGGTCTCATCAAATACAAACGAAGTTGTTACCGGTGGAGCTTAGGGTGGACGAACCACAGGAAGGCATGCTGGGAGAAACACAGGCGTTTTTGGATGACGCCATCAAAGCTTGTGGAAAATCACTTCCACCTTTAAACGAATAGAAAAAAAAAAAAACTACAAATAACTAATTATCATTGTATTTCTTAAAGTCTCTTCATTCAGTCTAATGATTTGGTTATTTCTAAAAATAAATTGCAAAAGAAGTTCTAAGTTGGCTTTAAAGTCAAATAATTTGAATTGGTCGTGAATTTTTTTTAAAATAATGTTGTTTTATAATGTTTTTGTCGACATTTTAACTAAATTTCCCCATTTCCAAGAACCATGAAATCTGTGTATGTTTTGTATGCAGAATTGAGTGGCTGGCAAAATCACGAATATCAAGAAAATGAAAAAAAAATCTTTAAAACAAAAGTGGTTTTGAAATTTTACAAGTTGGTCGACCCAAAAAACAACAACAACAACAACAACCACAAAAACCCCAAGCAAAACAAATCAGAGGAAAGGTTGGTCAGTTGGTTGGAGGTTTACTTTTAATCAGTATGTTAAACTTTTTCGCATGGCAACATATTAAATTCTGGCTGAGTTAACCGTCACGGATAGCGTTAGAATGGGGAACAAACTGATATAGCTGTTGAATATTCCCCACACATAACATACAGAGTATTGAGACTCCAAAAAGACTGGCCAATAAGAGTATTGGGGATTTAAAAAAAGACTGGCCAATCAGAGTATTGGGGATTTAAAAAAAAGACTGGCCAATCAGAGTATTGGGGATTTAAAAAAAGACTGGCCAATCAGAGTATTTGGGATTTAAAATAAGACTGACCAATCAGAGTATTGGGGATTTAAAAAAAACTGGTCAGTCAGAGTATTAGTACTTAAAAAGGACTGACCAATCAGAAAGTTTATTGGGTCATGTTTTTGAGTTGGGCAGCCATGATGCTAAACATCAATTTTAGTAAACAAGATCTGGAAGGGGAAGGAGACGTTATGATATTATTATAGCAAGCGGCCTTCAACATGGTCCCCCTTATTATTTATTCCCGTCGGGCCCAAAGAGGCACGTCGGGGGAATTCTGCCCCTGAGACAGTCCCACCCGCCCTCCGCTCGATTGACCATGTGAGTGAGGCGACATCAAGGAAAGAACACCTGGTTGGCTAAGTGCTGCTCTCCCAGCACCTGGTCGGCTGGTGGCGCTGCTCTCTCAGCACCTCGTCGGCTGGTGGCGCTGCTCTCTCAGCACCTGTTCGGCTGGTGGCGCTGCTCTCCCAGCACCTGGTCGCTGGTGGCGGTGCTCTATCAGCACCTGGTCGGCTGGTGGCGCTGATCAGCACCTCGGCGGCTGGTGGCGCTGCTCTCTCAGCACCTGTTCGGCTGGTGGCGCTGCTCTCCCAGCACCTGGTCGCTGGTGGCGGTGCTCTATCAGCACCTGGTCGGCTGGTGGCGCTGCTCTCCCAGCACCTGGTCGGCTGGTGGCGGTGCTCTCTCAGCACCTGGTCGGCTGGTGGCGCTGCTCTCCCAGCACCTGGTCGGCTGGTGACGCTGCTCTCTCAGCACCTGGTCGGCTGGTGGTGCTCCTCTCTCAGCACCTGGTCGGCTGGTGGTGCTGCTCTCTCAGCACCTGGTCGGCTGGTGGCGCTGCTCTCACAGAGTTTGTTTCAAATTTTTTTTGCATGATCTGAACACTCACAACAACCTGTAGAACTTTCTATGGGCTGGGAAGGATACATTTTAACGTCCGCAAAACATCCCTTCCCAGCCTGGGTTGGCAACAGGCGCCCTCTAGAAGAGTTTCCACACATGGTTTCTATATTGTGATTATGTCACATCGCAGTTGGGGCGAAACGGGTGCCTACTAACAGCCCCCCTCCAAGGCTGCTTGGTAAGAATCATCGGCAAGGGCTGCCACAACCCGCCCTTGCCTCATATGTCATTAACGGCACAGGTAATCGTGTCCAGACCTGTCTCTGGCGTTTTTTCCAACGGCATTTGGTAGGCACCATGCGGCTGTGCTCTTTCTATTAGTCTTTCCATGGCAAGACCTTTGCCTCTCCCGCTCGTGGTGGTATTGTGCCCTGTATAGCGTTCTGGGGGGGGGGGTCTGTGGCAACGACGGACATCCCGACTAGAGCTTGGGGTGGGGTGGGGGGGAGATAGCTGACTAAATTATGCAACAAACACTATTAACAACATCTGCCATGTGCATCCTTATTTCTGAATTTCATAGTTGGACCATACTGACTATATAGTAATGTTAGTTCATTAAAAAAAGTAATATCAATAAGCGTTTTATATTTAATTGTGTTTAAATTAACATAATTATATTTAAAACGATCAATGGTATCAGTAAAAACAGTTTTTATTTAGTGCAGAGGTTCTTTGCCTGTGGTCCATAGTGCCCTTGGGGTCATAAAAGGGTGAGCTGAATTTTCTCGTTAAATTTATTTAATGCATTTAAGCATTTTTCTAAGTAGGGGGTCTGTGACCCGTGACCAGGGCCGGCTCAAAGTATCGGCAACTCGGGAAGTTGTCATGCACTTTGAGCCAAACACCATCAGCGATCTCAAAAAATACGAAACAGCATTGCACGTTGAAGAATATTTTCTTTTGCCAAATGTTTGTCTGCCATTATACATACATAAATCGTATGTTGGTTCAGGGGAAGTTGTTGCAAAAGTCCCTGCTGACAGAGGCAGAATGAATTCTTGGCAATTTTGTCCATTAGAAATTAATAATTGGGCAAAATATAAATAGAGAAAGAGTGATGAAAAGGTTGGCTCATCTAAGGGCGAGAGAAAAAATGTCATCTGTAGGCTAAGTGTTCATATGTCATCTGTAGGCTAAGTGGTCATATGTCATCTGTAGGCTAAGTGTTCATATGTCATCTGTAGGCTAAGTGGTCATATGCCATCTGTATGCTAAGTGGTCATATGTCATCTGTAGGCTAAGTGGTCATATGTCATCTGTAGGCTAAGTGGTCATATGTCATCTGTAGGCTAAGTGGTCCTATGTCATCTGTAGGCTAAGTGGTCATATGTCATCTGTAGGCTAAGTGTTGATACTGTAGGCTAAGTGTTGATACTGTAGGCTAAGTGTTGATACTGTAGGCTCAGTGTTGATACTGTCCAAATACAAGTTAAGAAATACAACAGTATTCTTCATTACTGGTAAAAAAAACAAACAAAACACAACAACAACTGGGTCCCCGTGACCCCCATCTGACTGGCAAAACGGTTCATTTGAGCAATAACGTTCAAGAAGGCCTGTTCTAGCGACACATTACTCATCTGACGACACATTACGTAAAAGTCAAAAGTCAATGAGAGTTGTCCTTTTAGAGGACGGTCAAGTTCGATACCAGTTTTCTAAAAAATGACTACGATATTACGTTGTTTGATTCATCTATGAATTCGATACGTTATTTATTCCAGCTGATATTGACGCCCGATACATCCCCATTATCGCTGCATCTGTTAAAATAAATTGAACCGAGCGACAACTTGAAGCGATCATTATCCTGAAATATTTTTTTCCTGCGGCTACTAACATTGCGATTATACGGATGTGACTTCGTAAAAGGAAAGTTAATCTGTTAAGTTGGCGCCACTTTAAGAACTCGGTTCAAAGCCGCGTGACATAATTCCCAAAGATAAAAACCCTTCACCGCAAGGTCTCCTATTTAAAATAAAAGAATCCGTTTGTGTCTGAGATAGGTGGGAACAAAAATATGGCTGTGAATATTCCCTGCCTGGTGGCTGTCATTGTCATCTACGTCATCACACTGGTCATCGGGATTGTGGCCGCGCGGAAGACGAACAAGAAGACGGACTGTGACGAGGTGATGATTGCCAATAGGAGCTTTGGGCTCGTCATAGCTTGCTTCACCCTGACAGGTACCGTTACTTAACTTGCCGCAGCCTGAAAGATATAATGATGTCACTGATCCCATTTGGGAAACGGGGTCCCAGTCGGGATCGGTATCCCAACGGGGTCGTAATCCCAATCAGGATCAAGATCCAAAATGGGGCTGGGATCTCAAATGAGTTGGGGATCTCAATGTGATATGGGCTCTCAATGGGATCGGTATCCCACCGGGATCGGAATATCCACGAAATCGGGATCCCATCGGAATCGAAGTACCGACGGGATAAGGACACATTCTGGATCGGGAGCCAGTCCCGGGCAATGCCGGGTACATTGGCTAGTATATATATACATTAGGTTAGGGCGAGCACCAGGCCTAATGCCATTATTTCGTTTCCAAAATTTAAATCAAATAGAAAAGAACGATACCATTGCCATCATGATGATATGTTCCAAAATTTCTCTATCCACGTGACTGGATCTAGCGACCATGGTGTGCGGTGGTTTCATCAATGGTACAGCCGAGTATGCGGCTTGGTACGGACTGCTGCAGACACAGTTGCCACTAGGTTCATGTATAGGATTCCTCATAAGTAAGTGATGGTGCACAGGCAGGTACAACTTTAAGATGTGCTTTTTCAATGTTTGTGTGATGTTTCGCAGGAACCTATGGTGTAAAATTTAATCTTGTTTAAAGCCAAGACACTCTAGATTATAGCCGTGGTGTGATATTTTTGTGTCATGCTAGCCAAGATAGCCGTCTCTACGGCAATGGTGTGAGATTTTATTTTGATCCAGCCTCGACACTCCCTGGATAGAGCCGTGGTGTAAGATTTTGTCGTAAGCCAGCCAGGGCACCCTAGATAGAGCCATTGTGCAAGATTTTGTCGTAAGCCAGCCAAGTGACCCTAGATAGAGCCGTGGTGTAAGATTTTGTCGTAAGCCAGCCAGGTGACCCTATATAGAGCCGTGGTGTAAGATTTTGTCGTAAGCCAGCCAGGTGACCCTAGATAGAGCCATTGTGCAAGATTTTGTCGTAAGCCAGCCAAGTGACCCTAGATAGAGCCATTGTGCAAGATTTTGTCATAAGCCATCCAAGTGACCCTAGATAGAGCCGTGGTGTAAGATTTTGTCGTAAGCCAGCCAGGTCACCCTAGTTAGAGCCACGATGTAAGCTTTATCTTCTACATCAACCAATGCAAACTAGCTAGAGCCATGGTGTTAACATTTGTTGCCTCCTGCTAGTCGATTACAATTACCGCTAAGGCTTGGGCCCTCACGAATGTAACTTCATGTGTTCCATGATTTAAGAAGAAACTCAGACATTGTCT